TTTTTCTGCAAGAGGTGCAACCAGACTTTCTGCAGGATGTTCCTGCTGTCGTTCATGATCGCATGTGGTTCCAGCATGATGGTGCACCAGCCCAGGTGGATTGGCCATGGTGGACCTGTTTGATGGCCACTCCATTTGCCAGATTGATCCAGCTTGGATTTTTTTTATGGGGCCATCTGAACAGCATCATTTACGAGACTCCCGTTGACTCACTGGAGGACCTCGTTGCACAACTATCCATTACAGCTGCAAGCGTGCCCGAAATGCCTGTTGTTTTTCAAAATGTTCGTTAATCCCTTCTGCAACATTACCAAGCATGTATTACTGGTGGTCACAATTTTGGACATTTATTGTAAATACTGTATTGCTACAAAGAAGCACTTTCCACTGATTTTGTACATAAACACATTTTCTTCTCATGTTGTTTTTTTTTGCATTCCTGCCTTAACCCGTCACTTTAGACCCTACACTCCTATAAAAAAATGCATGTTTTAGTATGCTCCACCAACCCTCCAAGTGTGTCCCATGATCTATGAAACAACCCTGTATATAAATATATTTACATAAGTTTGATGTGGTCGATTGCAACCAAAATACGAAGAGCACGTCTATATGTTATGCAGTCCTATATATAGAGGTTCCAACGTTCTAAGGCTACTCATTTTTTAGTTATGCGAGATACATACATAAGTACAGACACCACGAAAAATTCTCTTCAGAATTCATTTTAAAGCAGTCTTATAACTTTTTTTGGAGGAAAAGAGTCTTTTATTCTGTCCTTACTTACAGATGTCACACAAAAACATCATTGACTTGCATTTGATAACAGTCAAAATGGATATTTTTGTTGAAATATGCTGCCTGAAACGTCTCGGGATTACAATACTTCCTTTTTACTTCCTTCACAATTAGCTACAGCCCACTTAGAATATTTATTTTACCATTTCTCTTAAGGTTTCACTTATTGTTTAGGTCAGACAGAAAAATATTAACTCCTCCACCACAACAATCACTCAAGGACTGAAAGTGGTTGCAACTAATGTCAATGAATGTACCGTCATTGATTCCCTAGTCAGCTTGTATCGAAAGAGGTACAACCATACCACTTTCAACTATCAATTAGTCAAGAGGAAAACATCTTTTATTACACACAGGCTTTTTAAATTCTCTCAGAGGTAGGTTCAAAAAACTTGTTGATCATGTAAAATTGTAATTTGCTCCTTGACAATATCTACAAAATTACATGATCATTCTATTTTTTGTAATATCCATTTTTAATAGTTTTTGTTTTTTCATTCTGTTCTTTACCTTCTAGGGCAGCGAATTTCTTAGAATTAGGAAATTATGCTTCCTTTTGGCTGAAACCAAGAAGAAAAAATGCATTTGCCAGCCAACAATTTCAAGTTCAAGAAATATATATATGTGACAGCATTAAAATTTAAGATACATAATTAAGCCACTTGATTTGATAAACAGCCAACAAATAACACTATTACAGTGGAAAGATAAAAAGGATATAAAGTAATATATTTTACCTTCTAATAAATCAGCTTTATCTTTTGGCTTGAGCTCTACTTTTGAATATGGATAAATTGCATATTCTACCATACCAAGATCAGCACACACTACTGCTTGTGTACGATTATTGACTAGTGAACTTCTTAACAGCTAGAGAATATAAATAATGTCAGAAAAGAGAATAACCAAAAATAATGTAAGACTATGCAATAAAAGTCATATAAATTTATAATTTTAATTGTTATAAACTATTACTGTAATTTGCAAATATTCGTATTAACCCTTTGCGTGCACTATATTATTTTTATAATTAACTAAAAACTCTAGAAATTGAATATGATGAGCCTAGAGACAAGTAATATATGAATTTTTTAAAAAAATCTACTCTTGTTCGTTGTTCTGTGGGTGGTGGTCGCACGGTGAAACCAGCATGCATCTGAGACATTAAAACTTACTGAGGTAGTAGGGGGCAGGGAACTTACTTTTTTCTGTGTGAGTTACCAATAAAGAACAAACTATACGAATTTAAAAAAAAAAAAAAAATGTGTGTGTAAGAATTGCATTATATGTAAATTTTTTACATTATTTTACAAAGAATTTTACATAAAAAAAAATAAACATTTATGTAATTTTCCTATAGCAGTGAAAATATAAGTACCTACATAATAAGAATGTTTGGATAAATGGATAAAAAAACTCAGTAAAGTAAGGATTAAAAAACTGTCTCCCCCCCCCAAAGAACACTTTTTTGTGACACTGTTCCTAGCATGTTTTGTCTTTTTGATACATGCATAGACCCACATTGCACATTTCGCATATGTATCGTGTTCTATGAGGTTTCTTCCTTGTGCTACAAAATGTACACTGCCTGGATCTTCTAAATTTCCCTGGTATATGTCCAGCGCTATTTAGCTTCTTTTCATCTGGCATATGAAATTTGTGGTTTTTTATGTTAATGGGAAGAGGGCTTGGTCTTTTTGACTTTGGTACGGATCATTCGTTTCCCATTCATATTTATTTGTATTTTGTTCCAAAATATTTAGAAAATATTTTTAATTTAAATAAAACTTTTACACGATTTATATTTTTTATTATAGCAAAGTATATTTACATTAAATTTAAACTACACCAAATAATTTATAAAATCACAATACTAGCTTGGAAAGCAAATGTATTGAGGTCAGAGAAAAATCTCTGGAAAAGACAGACCTTTTCACTGGGCAGGTGCATGTATTGTTTAGTAATAAAATAACTATGTGGTTTCAAAGCCCCTTATCTATATCCAAATAAAAATAAACATTCCTATTTGAAAAGCAAGTAAACGTCATTGTGAAGAGCAGTAGTTTCAAGCCGCGACCACCGAGCCTCTAGAGGATTGTGAGCATTACGACACAATGCTCTAGTGGTGCTGTGGTCGCGCCCTGAACCCACAAAGCAAATGCCATAAATATAGATAGGTTAGTTATTGCAATTTTTTATTGTTCATGATAGAAATCATGATGTGCAATGAACAATTTTTGAAATTTAAAGTTGTTTATATTAATAAAAGGAAGTTATTTTGGCTCATTGAAGACAATTTTTAAAAGACAGCTGATTTAAAGTATAAAGACTTAAACATGTATGATCTGCCGTCAATTTGTGTTATTTACAGGTAAAAGATCAGTAATCAATTGTTTTCACTCAAAAGTCAGAAAGAAGGGAAAAAAAATTTGAAGTTGGTGGTTCAGGGCGTGGCTACCGAGTCAAAGGGTTAGATAATCAACCAATAATTAACTAAATATTTAAACTGAAACAGACAAAAAAAAAAAAAAAAAAACTCCTCATACTATACAATGGTTGGTTGATTAATTGTTTATTGCACAACGTGTAGAATATCTGCTTAAGATATGCCTTTGTAGAACTTTAAAACAGCATGTGGCTCGTATTCATGTTATGCTTGGAAAATGCAACAAAAGCTTTATGCAACCAGCCCATTCAGTCATACTGCCAATTTTGTGATAACAGAAATTTTAAAAATTTTGAGAAAAAGTCAGATCACAGTGTACAGTGAATATTATTTAGAAAAGTGACATATATTGAGTATTTTATGCTAACTGTTAGTCAGTCAGACAAATGAAATTAATTTTAACATAATTACTGTAATTTTTTTGCTTTTCCTAAAATGTGATTTGGAAACTGTGCTTTATATTATTTATTACTGTATTTAAGTTGGAAACTGAATTAAAAAAACTGCCAAATGACAGATAAAAGCATTTAAATTTGAAAATATAGCAAAGAGAAAAATGTTTTTATTTTTATGTTAATTTTCTAAAAAAATATAATTTTAATAACACTGTACACGCATTATTATATTTGTTTAAAAAATTGTCATCAAATTGACAAACAACTTAGTCGAAATGATCTTAAGACTAGTCAATTAAAAAAGGTCAGCAAATTTAGACATACATAACAAAAGAATTCATATTCTAAATAAGTTAAGAACTTATTTTGGCTGATCTTTAGAATATGGTAACTGGTAGTTTGGCGAACATTTTGGAGGCGAAAAAGGTAGGACTTTGGTAATAATGTGAGAAGTACTTAGTTCCGATTACGCATTATTTGTGTGAGGTAAATGAGAGATCATGGGATATGTCATTGATATATGACGAATACGGTCTTTATCAGAAAGGGGGGAAACCGAGAAAAAATCTGAATTTGTTTGGCTTATCTGTGTGTGTGAAACGTGTCGTTAATTTTGGATCCATGGCCCTAACTAAAGTGAATTCAAAATGGTATTTATGGGATTGAAAGGGTAGTAATAATGTTTCTTAAGGTTGTGCGGATGAAGTAAGATGTTTATTAAGTTATTTATTTACCGGTCCTGCTGTGAACTATAAGTATGATTTTAAAGATCCTGAAACAGAAATAAGAAAAGTTTATCGGAACATTATCAAATTCTGAAGAAGAATAGGTAGGTAGTATTTTATTATTTGAGGATATTATTTTTATGATTGTAAATGTAAGGTGGAAGGAAAGTAATTTGCGTAAACGTGCATGGAAATAATTTAAATATTGACACTGAGATTTGTAATGTTGCGGTAGAATAGTTAGTGACGTTTGTAATATAATAGATAATGTAGAGGTAAAAGTTTTGCTATTTTATTATTTATACGGAAAAATGTTCAATTGGAAAGGGTATATTTTCGCGATCAGGTAATTTTATATGTTCTTTTTACCGGGTTTAAGATTCACAACTTTAGCATTTCGTGAAATTTCTAATTTGAGAAAAAAAGCAGTGTACATGATATAGTGAGAGTGTGCGCAATGCCATTTTGTGCAATTACTGGGATGTTTTTTAAGTAAAATAAGTCGACGTGTACTGGTTAGTGATATTTTAATTAATGATAGTTATTTGTGATTTTAGTTTGTGGAATTGGTATACGTTTAAGTTGAAGTAACGTGCATGGAAATAATTTAAAATATTTGACCGAAGTATTTGTAATGTTGCGGTATGATCGTGGTAAGTGATAATATAATAGAGAGTTAGAGGTAAAAGTTTTTGGAATTTTATTTTTTAACGTGGAATTTTCATTTTGGAAAGGTATAAACTTTCGCGATCAGGTAATTTCTATATGTTCTTTTACCGTGTTTAAGATTCAGAAATTTGTTATGCATTTTGTGAAATTTTTAATTTATGAGAAAAAAAGCAGTGTACATGAATAGTGAAGAGTATGCGCAATGCCCTTTTTTTTGTAATTCTGGATTTTTTTTAATAAAAATAAGTCGACGTGTAAATGGTTTAGGGTGTGTTATTTTGAAAAAGCGTAAGGAGTGTGGTATTGTGACTTTTCCAATTTTGCAGGAATATTTGTCATGTTAAGCATTTTGTTAGATAACTTCTAGCATAAGTGTAATCGGCTAGTAGATTGTTGAAGAAGGTCAGTAGATAAAAAGAAAGAAACATTCTTTACTCGTGAACAAAATGGGGGGGAAAAAAAAAAAAAAAAAAAAGAGGTTGCCTAAGAGAGTTGGTCGCCAAAAAAAAAAAACGCCAAGTTACCATAATGTAAAGATCAACCCTTATTTTTACTGTAATAGTGAAGATGAACTGAAGTGGTAACCCAGATGTCTACTAAAAAGTATGTAATTTAAACACAAATTTGGCAATAAATCACTATATTTGGTAGGAAAAAAATTTGTTCCTTTACAAAAAATTACATAATTCATAAAATAATAACTAAATTTCACATGTAATGTCATAAAACTAACAGTTTTTTTAATGATTAAAAATTTGTAAAAGCTGGCAGGTATGCAGTTAATGGGAACAGATCTCATACAGAAATATGAATATTCTGTAGTTTCAACCACTTAACCATTAGTGAGTTTGCATTATGCACTGATGTATGACACTTAAAAAATATTATATAATAGTAACAAGTTGTAACTTTTCTTCTTTACTGTGTCATACAAGAATAAGAAAATATATTCTGTACCTAGTTCGCTAACAGACTGATAAAAATCTATAATGTATTTTTCATATTTCAGAGAGAAAAAAGGGGACTAATTTTAGAATAAAATTGAACTAGCAAAAAAGTTTACAAACAAATACCGACAATAATAATTTGCTCAATCTCCTCTTTTACTGATTGCTTATATAATACAGTCTCTGAAAAAAATGTCTATAGTCATGTGTAAATATCAAACTTAGTTTAAAAAAAGCTATGAAAACCTTAAAAAAAAAATTGTGTTTTCAATCTGAATAGCTAATTTTCAGTTTCACAGCAAAAGTTAATTTTAGTTGAATTTCTAATGACTATTATAACTCTAGATTTAGCTTTTTTATATCACAATAAATGCACTGTAAATTCTAATTTTAATGCTATAATGTATGTTTATTATTTTAATTTGCACATCAAACTTTTTAAGTATTTAACAGAATTTTTTTTAACCTTATTTATTTCACATGATATTTTTATTGTCTGCCATGTAACAAAGATTTGAATTTTATATTTTATAGAGAGCAATCGATAAGGAATAAATATGTTGAATTACTTCTAAATGTGCCTGAATCAGTAAAAAAATCAGCTGTACATTTTCTTAAATGTCATGCTAGGCATCTTGCTAACTAACATCTGCTATAATGCCTATGAATGTTATTTAATACATACAGTCAAAAGTCTTTAATCCGGACTGGTCGGGACTTCGGAGATTCCGAATTATCGGTTTTTCTGGATTATAGATCACAATTAATCTTAAATGGGCATGCAGATTCTAAAATTAAAATATAAACGAATTTATGAAATAAAGAGTAATTATGATCAAAAGTATCAAATTTACAAAAAAAAAAAAAAAAAAAGCTTTATTTATTTGTTTACTTTATTAAACATTTTTTCAATGCATGGAAAGCATACACATAGTCAAATTAAAAATTGCAACTAGAAAATATTGATGTGTATTATAATGACGAGGAATCTATTTTAAACCTATAAAAATGGAGTAATCGAGATGAATTCTACATTAGTAGGATTATAGCCGAATAAAATAAAAAATGCCGGAAGATAAGGATAGTGCTGACAGATCAACTTCCAGTTCATTGCGTGCCGCATATTTTAAATTATACCAGCCTATGTTAATCCTTTATTTATTGAAATAATTAACCAAGAAACATAATTCTAGTGTTTAGAAAACTTCAAACTAGCATGCTGTCCTATAGTGGAAAAGATCTGCAGCATCACTCTATCTTATTTCTATCTTTAAACAGAAAATGGCAAATTAAAAACCATGAAATATATCTTTAATTTAGGTAAACAATATACATTTTTCTGACATTCAACTTTTTTAATAATTACATCTAAATTTATCTTTCATACACATATCATATGCAGACAGATACTTACAGACAAATGCCCTTCATGATGCTCTGGAAAATATTTATACAAGTATTCAGAAGCAACAAGTTGTAAAACTGTATCACCTAAGAATTCAAGTCTTTGGTTTGAACCTCTGGAAAAGGGGGATAAAAAATTAGTTTGAGGATGTTCTACTATTCAGTGAATTTTTAAAGAGAAATATCATACTTGCATTTTTAATTTAAACAGTTGAACATTTCAACTACCACCTCCCCCCCCACACAAAAGTAGGCATCAGTTATATAAAAGAATATAAGAACAGCTTCAATTTAAAAAAAATATTTATATATACTAACCATTCAAAACACGATGGCCACTCCTACATTGTAAGGATAGCAGTTGTTGGAATGATGCAGATAGCATAGGTCAAGGAGTTGTTTAACAAATATCTCTGAAATAGTGTTCATCATTGGGTGCTCATGAGCTGCAGCTGTTAATATTGGATTGGAGGGAAAGTTCTGTGTATTTTTAAGAAAATATTTGAATTCATTTATAAAAATATGTGTTTAATATTAATCAATTATATATGCTCCATTATTTGTTACAATTGTTGTCAACTTCATGTAACCTGTAAATTCCTGTTTAGTAGAAGTTGTCGGCCTTGGAGTTAAAATAGTCAGCAACTGTCTTAGAAAAACTTTTAAAAGACTTGAAGTTTTTTCCTGTTAGATAATCTTGCAGACATCTGAACAGGTAATAATCAGCTGGTGCACAATATCAGGTGAATATGGTGGGTGACTAAGGACTTCCCATCCTAACGCATTAAGTTTTTGTTGTGCAGTTTTTGACACTATCTTTTTCTGCTAATGCTGGCCTTTTTTCTTTGATAGCTGCATTCAATCCAGCTGATTGCAGTACAGATCTGCGTTAATGGTTTTTCCTGTTTCAGCAACTCGTAGTACACAGGACCTTTCCTGTCCCACCACAAACAAAGCAGACTTTCGTCGATGGATACTTGGAATGTACTGATGATGTTCCTGGTTTGCAGTAAGATTTTTTTCTCTTAATATTCTTGTAAAGAATCCACTTTTCATCTCCAGTAACCAGGGCCAAAAATGGCTCCAATTGTATTAATCAGATGTGATGAACACATTCTTACATGGCCAGACAAATTCTTTTCTGTTAATTCATGTGGAACCCAAACACTTTGCTTTAACACAAACGCAAGAGATTTAATGTAATCTCCAACAGTTTTATGATGAACGCCAAACTCTTCTACAATTTCTCGACTTGTTAAATGTGGATTATTTTCCAACATGGATCGCAAAACATCATTATTGATCTTGGATGGTCGTCCAGATCAATCACTTTCTTGGAGGCTCAGATCCCCGGAATGAAATTTGCTAAACCATCTTTGACAAGTACGAACATTTACAATGTCTTTTCCAAATACCGCACATAAATTCTTACATGCAACCGATGCATTGCTTCCATTTTGGAATTCATACAAAATGCAGTGTCGTAAATGCTCTTTATTTACTGACATGTTTTTCACTTAAAATATCACAAGTAAATGATGAACGGTAAGAAAGAACTCCTTTTTTATTATACAGCAGCTGAAAAATAAAAAAATTTTAAAAAAATAAATCCGAATGACTCACTAGGCAGATTTTTTTTTTATTTACAAGAAAAATCACCTGCCTATTTAAAATACCACAGAACTTTCCCTCTAACCCCTTACTTAAGAAAAATAGAGAAGGATAATGAATCATTATCTCGCTTTGGAAAGGAAAATAGGCAACTGCTGAAGACTAGACTAGTTGAATACAGGTCCAAGAACAAAATTATTTCTTATGCTAGAGGTCAAACTAAAGAGTATGGCCATAGTGTTTTGGCAGATTAGCACACATTTCATAATTTTAGATCAGAATAGATCATATTTATACTCACTAATTACAAAATACAAGCATGAACAAAATTTTGAAATTTTATACTTATTTAGTTTAGGAATAAGTCATTTACACAGATCACAAGTCAGCTATAGTATTTTAATAACTAATATAAATTTTATTTATATATTAACATTATAGTACTAATCTAAATTTTATTTAGTATGGGAACACATCCAGTTTGTTTACATCCAACGAAAGAATATTAGAATATTATCCTTAAATTTTTATCAAGAGTTGGTTTCATTTACAAGTAATGTATGCTAAAAGACTACATTAATTTAATTCAGTACTACGGCACAGAAATAAAACATATTTTTATGACTAATTAATGGTAATTATATTAATAAAAAAAGTTCCTCATCTTTGTTTTGATAACCACAGTAATAATTTAACTTTTTGCCTTTTCTATATTTTTGAAGCCATTTAAATATATTGTTTAAATTAAAAAATATATATATATATACTTATTTTTTTAAAATGAGTTTCCTGAGAAAGCAGAATATTGTTACACCTTGAAAAAGTCAAATCTCCATCAAATTCTCGCAAAATGCTTTCTTGAAAATTAATGCTTTTGAGATAAATCGCACTTCCAAAACCCAGAATTCAAGCTAGTGCTCTTTGATATTTGTATATATAACAAATGTTTTTCAAACATCTATTATATATATTACAGAGACCTAAAGCTGAATTTTGATTAGTTTCAAAATTCAAGCTGATGCTTTAATAAATGTACAGATTAACAGAAGCACTTTTACAATTGTTATCCATACACATGTTAGTGTCCTAAAGTTACTTTTGCCTGCATTTTCATCCTTTCCCATTTGGGATCGTAACATGTCTTGTCAACACTGCATGACATATTTTTTAACCACCTCATTTTAGACTATTTGTGGGCTTTTCACAAAGCTACACACACAAATGGAAAAGAAATATAAGAAAAAACATTACAGGACACTACTATCTGCTGTAGTTATTGTTAAAAAGCAAACGACAGAAAATTATATTTAAGTGGCTACTTTTAACTTAAAATACTTCAGCTACAGTTCATCAAGCAGTAGCTGTTCTGAACAAAACAGTGTACAAGTAATAGGCATTTTTTTTATATCTTCTGCCTGAACCTTCTGCTGAATTTTACCTATTTTCAAAATCCTAGCTAGTGCTCTTTGATCTATGTACAGAAAACTGCAATTACTTCAACCCAGAAGAAAAAATAGCCCAAAATCAGGTAGCAGAGTTCTGAAATCTGATGATGCATTTAAAGCTGTATCTTTTTCCAGAAACTGGCAACACATAATTATTCCTCGAAATTTTGTTCAAGCATGAAAAATGATTTATGAAATGTAGCAAGTTCAACTTTCTTAAAATAAATAAATTAGTGGTTATTATTTTCTGTTATTAATAACTTAAAACATTTATTTTTGCACTACTTAACAAAGCAGACTTTTGCTGTTCTAATATAATTTTTATAACATATTATCTTTGTTTTTCATTATCTAAAATGAATTTTTTTTTACAACATACAATTTACATATATTATATTTCATCTTATTATTCTGGGCACTGTAAGACAGTCGATAATTATTGAGCTGGACTTGAAGTGAGAAGATCTATTTCTGTTATAATGCAATTTTTAGATGCCCCGCCATCTGAGAAACAAAATTTCAGAGAAGGAAACCGAGTTGAGAAACTAGAAACAAAAATTAATAAATAAAACTTACAGTGTGAGATTATTGTAGCCTAAACTACGATGTGTCAAGGCTCTGGCAAGAAGACGTATATGTGTGAATTCAATGCCAATCTCTTCCTCAAATTTGTTCAATTTCTGAAAAACAGAAAAAAAATATTTACTCATGAAATGAAAGAAAAACACATAAAAGTAAATTTAAAATTAAGCAAAAATCTTAGCTTGGTGTATGCCAAATTAAGGTTGCTTTTTTGCCTAAATAATTAGAAAGTGGTTTTTTTTTTTTTTTTTTTTTTTTTTTTTAATATTTGAAAACATTTCAATTCCACCCTTGTTCTTTGATATTTAAGCCTACCAGGAATAATCAAATAATTATATAACAACAAAATTTTAGCTTAACTTACAATGCTCCAAACTGAGTAATGTCATGAATTTTTCTTTGACGGATATTTCATTTCTTGTAATTAATATTTGTTATACATAGCACATTTTTCAGAAATATAAATAAGCATTTTAAAATAAATTTGAAAGAATGGCATAATAAAAAATTACTTCATAAAGAATAAATGTTTAAATATCTTTGCATTTCAGTGCTTTAAAAAAAACTCTAACGCAAATTGTTCTTACGGTCCTGGCTTTTAAGTGATTTTAATTAATTATATTCTTCAACCTCTTGATGATCATTAATGAGCTTAGCTCACATTCCAGTTATGCACTGGAGTGAGTGCAAAAACACAGCTCACATTACTAATTTACAAGTGACAGATATCGCAACTATTTGGGTAGAAAGAATTGCTTAATCTCCCAACCACCAAAAGGTTAGGCAATAGAGGAAAATGCAAGTAAAAATCAAATGAAAAATGCTAGTGTTGTATTCGTAATGATAAATACAAAATATGTAGCACTTCTTGAATATATAAAGTAATGCAAATGCATACCAGTCATTCACTGTTTAACATATTACTTTTGTAATTAAAATTCTAATAATTAAAATTTATTAACATTTTAAACTTTTTAATGAAAATATGGGAAACAGAAAGTAAAAAGGTCAAATTAATTTAAAAGTAGTACAATAGAAGTCCAGAAATCCGCAAAGCTTGGGACCAGAGGTTGTGCAGATTTCAGGACAGAAAAGATAAAATCTTAATATTAGACTCAAAGTGCAAAATAAATAAGGTATACTAGATACATTTTAATTAAATTATATATAAATTATTGAAATAATTTATTATATGCATTAAATTATTATTACATATATACACTGATTATATTATTCATTGTATTATATGTACACAGCATCCAGGTTTGCCGATTTCCCCTCATGCAAAGATTTCCGATTTCGAATTCCGGTGTTAGAATCACTGTTGCTGTAAAATTTCAACAGCTTTTTTTATTTTTCCGTATATCATACACAACTGTGTCACAATTCCATATGATTCTGCTATAAACCGAGGAGTGGAACCTGCCTCCATCTTTTGAAGAATTTGCACTTTTTGCATTACCATCAAATGCAGCATGTTTATGTTTTTCAATGTTGCAAGCAGTAAAATCATGAGTGTGTTTCTTATCTGTCATTGTATTAAAAAGAGCTGAAATTTAAAATATTCTTAATTTATCCACAGAATATGCGGATAAAAAAAAAGGCAGCACTAAATAATCTCATGAAATAACAAAGCTCAGAAAATACAACGTGAATCGTGAACTAAAACAAAGAGTTGAGTGAATCATCTGCTTTTTTACCTCGATGCAGATTAGAGGGGAAAAAAACTTTTAATCATGATGTCAATAATTTGGTATTTCCGTTATGACTCATTATTAGTCAGTAATTATGACGTCATTATTCGGTAAGCATTTTCAATTTGATATTTCGTACACAATGTTGCGGTTTCCGGAACCTATAAACTGAATGTTTATATTTTGAGAGGCAACGCGGATTTCAGATTGGCGGATTTTTGGTATTTGACTGTAGTAATTAGTTTATTATGAATTACTGCTTACAACAAATTTTGAAAAGCTTGAAAAATTAACATAACAGAATTCATTAGTTACATGCAGCCCTGGAAATTACAAATAAATAAATAAAAATAAAATTAAAAAAAAATATTAAACATTTCTTGTAATTATTAAAGTAATTCAGAACTGCCATATTTAAGGTCAATGCACTTAAATAAAAAATGCATTCAAATATTTAAACATATGTGCTACTTTTAAAGTGCATAATTCAATTATTTCATAGAATGCCTAGCTATTTCATGAAATAACTGATCAAGTCAGTTAAAGTATCAATAAATTATCAATATAATACTTTAACTATTAATTTCATAGAATAACTAATTGCTCTATAAATTAATTATTGGTAGATAATTAAAATATAAAAAAATACTTAGCTGAGTTATACTGCATATAAAATGTTATTTGTATATAGACACAATAAAACCATTACAACAAGGACAAATTTGTCACAACAGGGATTACTAAATGGCACTTGAAATTGCACAGAACATTTCTTCTAAAACAAATACATTTTTCACTGAAACTGCATTTTACATGAACATTTTTTTAAATGCCTGACCAGTATCTAAATATTGTGCTGTAAAAATTGATTGAAACGATTTCTAGAACATTTGGCACTTTTTCAATCTTAATTAGTTTTCTTAAGGGATGTTGAACTAATCGAGAATACAGCTCTTTTATGTGACCCTTTCTTATTCCTAGTTGAAAATAATTTTTATTCAGTTATTTTCATGATAACAACTAATATAAATCTGACATCACCTCATCCTCTGTAAACTTCAGGTACTGGGATTGTAAGCCCCACAAAGGCTTCAAAATGAGATTAATCTGACATTAATTTCATCCTAGCTTGAATTTCCACATATTACTCAGAGTTTTCTCTTTCCCTTTGAATATTTATTTTATTTCTTATCTTCTGTACTTTTTCTAATCTGTATTTCTTCTAATCCTTTTTTTTTTGTACAGTTGCATCTTCCAAAACACAGTCTTCTAAACATAGTATGTCAACAGGCTTATTCACATCACTGTATTCTTATGAACAAATTATACATACTTCACTAATGGCATTATTTAACCTTGTTTTTCCAGATCCTCTTCTGAGATAATGAATGGTGACTACAGATGCTCAGAGAGTTTGATGCGAAAAAAGATTACACTACAGTAATATCTCTGTATTAAGTTATGCAAATTACCATTAATTACAAAAATATTGTGTGTGAATGATTGAATTTGGAACTTTAACGAAAATCATCCTATATATCCCAGTATAGTAACTAATACTAACTTGTGGGATGAAACATGTTGGTTAGTTATGACCTGTCATTGTTCCATAAAATAACTAGTTAAAGTATGGAATTAGAATTTATTACACACTTTAATTGACTTGATCAGATATTTAAAGAAATAACTATGTATTCAATGAAATTATGGATTTCATACTTTTCCTATAATACATAGATGCTGTAACTGCACTTAAAAAAAGAAGGAAATTTTACAATACCTGCAGTAAAGGAACAGATGCCAACCACTTTCGATCACCACCAGGCTCTTGTTCCTGAAAAATGAGTTCAGAAAATAATGATTGAATATTATTATCAAAATAAAAGCATATATGAGTATATTTATATACATACATATATATGATGATAGCAGTATGGTTACGACAAAGATGCAGCCATAGCCAACTGATACACTTCTTTATTCTTAGCATCACATTCTTGCAAACATAGACAGCTAAATTGACAAATTATTTATCATTTCGTAATTATAAGCATAATTTTACAAGATCTCAGGAAAAGGACTCAGCCATTTTTTTCTGTATGGGATATTTTTTTGTCACTGATAATGAAATGATTAAAATATGGGTCAGCCTTTCGTAGTGTCAAAAGAGAAAGGCAAATGATTCAGTTTGGTGCATGCTCTAGGCCAGAGGTCGGCAACCTATGACCCGTTGGTCACCAAGTGACCCATTTGGTAATTTCAAGTGACCCACTTTAGTTCTGAAAATAAAGTATAAGATATACAAACATTTTTTTTTTTTCCCCCAAAAAAATTTTTGTTGCAAAGTTATGAACGTACCAAATTTGAATCCAGTATAACATATAGAAATATCAGTTAAAAGCCCACCCCCGCCTGACTGGATATGGAATCGGCTGATAGTATGCGGAATGCAGCGACATTGTCTGAACAAATTGTACCATTTCTGGATGCGCGCCCCACCCCTGCCTGACTGGATATGGAATCGGCCGATAGTATGCGGAATGCAGCGACATTGTCTGAACAAACTGTACCATTCCTGGATGCATGTTTCGTTATCTCAGTTATATGTCAGTTATAGTTATAGCACGTGTAGTACAGTAGCACAATAATATTGACCTAGTGAAATAAATATTATTATTTAAAAAAATTACCATGAACAAACAAAAAGCAAAAAAGAGATTATTTCAAGATGCGCGGACAGAAAAGTATGGGTGTATCAAAAATGGTGACAAATTGATATGTACTTTATCTACAGATATAATTACCGCCAGGACTTAAAATATTGAGCGACACTTTTCTTCAAAACATAAAGATGTGAGTGAAATGGCAAATGAAGATAAATATGAATACATTGCTAAACATGTATTAAATTTTGGAAAACAAAATAAATTCTTAAAGTGTTTTGTTACCAACAACAATCACGTTACGTCTGCCAGCTTTGTTGCAGCTCTTAGCATTGGTACCAACAGAAAACCATTTACAGACGGCGAGTTTTTGAAAAACGCATTCATAAATTGTTCCGAATACTTATTTAATGACTTCACAAATAAAAAACAAATAATTGAGAAAATCAAAGAAATGCCACTGTCAGCTAGAACAGTCCAGTGTCGCATTGAAGATATGGCCAAGAATATTATTGAACAGGTCAAAATGATTTGTTATCTTGTGACATAATTAGCATTGCAGTTGACGAAAGTACCGACATAAATAGTATTGATAGGCTTGCAATAATTATTAGATTTGCATCAATAAATAGCTCGAATGTCAATGAAGAACTATGCGTTCTTGCTTCAATGAATGACACCACCAAAGGCACTGATATTTTTCGTCAAGTACAAGAGTTTACAAATTTCAAAAATGGGCAAGTATTGGATTTAAAAAGTAAATTGTTTTCCATAACAACTGACGGTGCTCCAAGCATGAGAGGAAAAACTGTTGGATTTGTAAAACTAATGGAAAATAAACTGGGCCATTCACTTTTATCGTTTCATTGTATCATACATGAAGAAAATTTATTTGCAAAGCCATCTGCCGTTCACTTTTATTGTTTCATTGTATCATACATGAAGAAAATTTATTTACAAAGCCATCTACACAACTTACGGATGTAATGGAAAAAGTTGTTAAGATCGTAAACATGATAATAGCACGATCAGCATTAATACACAGGCGCTTTAAAGCTTTTTTGGAGGAAATTGAATCAAAATATGGAAATTTGTTATTACATTCTGAAATACGATGGTTAAGTCGAGGCAAAGTTCTTAATAGATTTGTAGAGTGCTTAGATGATATACAAATATTGCTTCACGAAATCGGTGAAAATGATCTCGAACTCAGTGATAAACAATGGTTTTTAAGACTTTTGTTCTTGACAGACATAATGAACCAATATAATGATATCAACGTACTTCAAGGAAATAACCACACAATTTAAAAAATGTATGAGGAATGGAAGAGTTTTACTTCAAAATTGATATTATTTGAAACTGACATAAAAACTAAAAAATTTCATTTCTTTCCCTTGTTAAAAAGGGAACATGAAAAAGAAAATATCGATGAACGCAATCTAAATATGTTCGAAACTTGGATTTCGGTCATTAAAAGTGAATATGAAAGTCGGTTTCAAAGTCTTAAGAAGCATGGAGAAATGTTTACATTTATAATAAAGCCTGATGAAATAGAAGAAAATATTATAAATTTGCAGTATTTTAAATATCTAAGAATTGACAATGTTAGTTTAGAAATGATTGGTTTTAAAAGTTCAACATTATGGACAGATAAATTCAAGAAATTGCGGAACGATTTGGAAAACACAGAAGATAATCATTTTCCCATGATATCAACATGTTGGGCATCACTTCCTACGAGGTTTTCATCATTAAAAAAAATTGCCTTTGCCAAATTTTGTCCACATTCGGGTCCACTTATAAATGTGAGCAAATATTTTCACAAATGAAAATTTATTTTAAGCAAGAAACAGGAGCCGGTTAACTATTGAAAATTTCAGGATGCTTGTGTTCGACTTAAAACGACTAACTATAAACCAGACTTGACTAAATTGACGTCACAAGTTCAACATCAGGGGAGCCATTGATATTGTATAGAAAATTTATAAATAAAGTTTATTCAACTATGTTTGTAATTATTTTCTTAATAAAATATATCTTATTATTTACTAAAATGCTGTTTTAATACGAAAATATCTTTGACCCAAACGTCTCTTTAATACTCGCATTTTGGTTGATTTTGACCCGCGGCCAAAAAAGGTTGCCAACCCCTGCTCTAGGCTGAGAGCTGAGGAGTACCTAAATTCCCTTTTCATTAATCTTTCCAAGTTCATGCAAGTGGCTTGTTGTAAGTGTGTGACAGACACCCTTTACATGATGGCCATTTCATGATTGGGTATTCTGAAATCAGCGTTAACTGTAGCTACCAGCTGATCACTATCTGCATCTGATGGCCTGTCACATTTTGGAAGATTAGTGATACCATAATTATCTGACCTGAAGTATTTGAACCAATGCCAAACTTGATGCCCATCAAAGATATTACACACATCATGGATGTTTCTAAAAGCTTGTGAAACAGCATTGTTAAATGAAAACTCATACATTAAGTAACATGTTACACAAACCATGCCACTTTCTATTATGAAAAGAAAATTAACAAACTCTTCTTTTAATTAAAAAAAATCAGGTTTATTTTAAAGTCTAATAATTACATTATTCTAAGATATACTTTTAGATTTTCAAACACTGACTGACAATGTTTAATATACATTAAGACTTTTGATTATAATTACTTTCTAACAACTTCATAAATTAAATTAATTCACTTAGTCCTGCACAAAAGTATGCCCCCCTACTTAAGCAGGCAGCCCATAAGTGCTTTGCTACATTCATCAAAACGGGGGAAAAAAAGAAAGAAAGAAAATTTAGATGTAATGGAAAATTTAGATTAAATAATAATAATAAATATAATGAGTTATGCAATTTCTTTAGATATTTCTATACTCAGCAAGAAATGAGCTAAAAGCCTTGAATAAGAAAGTTTCCTAATTGTTAAATTTGTTTTCACTTAATGATAAACAAAATAAAAAAAAAGAGTTTAGATTTACACAATATCTCAGTAGTTAAATACTCCATGAAAAATTTAATACTGTAAGTATGTTTTAGCCCAAAGGGCGTTAGCCTAGAAGGGCTATTAATTTCTTCACTATAAATGTCAGTTCACTTTTCAAATTGTTGCCACTAAATATTGAAGCCTAGTGTAATATTTAAAGAAATCAAAGAACCTGCATAAATGTATATATGTTTCTTGCATTGCGATAAAACAACGGTATATAGAGCCATAAAATTTTGAATAATGTAACCTTCAAATGAATATGGGCATCTAGAAGGCCAAATTTGGAATCTGAAATTTGTTTTATTGTCGATTTCATATTTTGTTACACTTTAACGAATTTTTGATTAACAAATTCAATGATTTCAAAGTGAGCACTGGAAATGCTGTACGATCAAAAAAAAAAAAAAAAAAAAAAAAAAAAACTTCAGTGAGCGAGACTATATTGGAATTTCTAAAGACATGCTCATTTTAAAATTATTTTGCGATATTGCTGTTTAATTGAACTTTATGGTTTAAATGCGAAGAATATATACTATTTAATACAAAAAAGCAGCACACAAAATGTTAAAAAATTCCCCTCTGGGCATAATGTAAAATCTGAAAACTTTCAGTATTTTTGTTTTTTGTTGTTGCTTACCTGAAGCGGATGAGGAGGATAATTCTGCCAAACTTCATAAAGCTCTGGTTCAGTAAACAAGGTTTGGGAGAAAACTCGGTCTGCCACTTCAATCCCATCATCCAGAAATAAAGCACCTGAAAAAAGCAGATACCAGTTTTTATAAGCAAAAGAAATTTTTTGTTTGTTGATAAAACTATAAAACATTTAATATATTCTCTTTTTTCCCCAATATAAAAAGCTGTGTGGAGGAGGAGGAATGACATCACAATTACAAAAGCATAATATTTCATTCTTAATAGCTTGCATTATACAGAGTGACATTTTATGAATTTTTCTAGCATTTAATAGCAACTATTGTATTTTCAGAAATGAACTTCTCTTACTATAAAAACATGAAAAATTTACATATCTCGTTAGTCCATATTTAATGATGTTGTTGTCTTATTCTTATCCAAGATGCTCTTTACATTAACCACTCAAATAACAAATATGATTATTTATGTATTTTGAGATAGAAAACAAGATATATTTTAATACCAGGTAAGTTTAAGTTATTTAATTCGGGAAAAACACTGAAGTGCTATTTACCTTAAAAAGGATTCTTTTGATTAGTATTTTCTGAGGAAGATGGGCTTGTATTCAGGTTACATAAAGAAATAATGTAGTCGGATACACTAGTCATCAAGAATCACAATTCATTACTGAAATTGTTGCTGTCTTATCTTAACCATTAAGTGTTTTGGCCTTTTAACAACAGGAGAAAATTAAAATAACCACATTTTTACAAACAAGATGCAGAGAAAAAAAATTCTTAAGTAAGAAAAATTAAAAATGATTTCCATTGTTAACCCTTCTAGGATACGATATGCAACATGGTAACAGATAAGCTCTTTGAGGAAATTAATAAAACTTTTCTCAATATATTTAACTTACAGTGGCAAGAAAGAAAAACAAAATAAGAAAACTTTGAGACTAACTGATCTAATATACTGCAAGAATATATATAGAATATAGAAGTTAAATTTGATTTACATATTGTAAATGAACCAATGATTTAAGATAGATGTTAAGATGTATTAGAGTTTCATAATTACCTTTACATGTAGTTAAATTGTGTTTAATACATACTCACCCATAAGAGCTTCAAAGCAATTAGCCATTGCATGTCTTAACTCCAAATCGTGGCATAAGTCGGAACCATGTGCATACAACATGAATTTTTCCAGCTGAAGTTTCTGATAAGGCATAAATAAAATGCAAGATTAAGAATGATAAAAGCAAATTTAATTTAATTAATAAAGTAATTGAAGAGAAATATAATTGGGAAAAACCCTTCGCTCATAAAATGCAGGCTTTATCAAATATGTACTGTAGACTTTTTCAAGAATTGAATTTACTATAAAAATCTCCAGAAAAACTTCTATTTAAAATTTAGCATAAACATATAGGATGAAGCTAAATGTTATTCACATACATAAAGAGCAAACAATAAAATTAAAATAGCAGATTTTGAATAGGAACCCATGGTTTCTGAAGTAATCCTGAGCCAGTTGAAACTTCTAAACATACACTACCCGATACTGAAAATGCAATACCAAGAAGGAGTGGCCAGCAAGTGATGAAACTTGGCAAACAGAGGGATTGGATTGGATTATTCAATTATGGCAAAGCACACGAGGACTATCTGCCTAAAGGGAGGGATGCCTTCATGGAGGACTTTCTAAGGGAAACTGGCTCGTATACACGTTACACATGGGGAAAACCACGAAAACGCGCATGCAGCCAGCCCGTTCGCGGGATTCGAACCTCAGACCGAACTACCAGTGTTCAGCGTCTTTACCGCTCGGCCGCTGGTGGGCTGGCAAACAGAGGGAAACGGGAATGAAGAACAAGTGATCTTTATTTCAAAATGATAGGCATAATACACACTGAAAACAGCGTCAGCTCAGTAGGTTGCAGGACCAACTTGGACAGCAATACATGAAGCAATATGTATTGGTATAGAGTCAATGAGACTACGGATGGTGTTCTGAGGAATGGCTCTCCATTTCCTGATAATCATTTGCCACAGTTCGTCTTCTGAATGCAGCAATGACAGGGTCTGCAAATGGTGCCCAATTACATCCCAAATGTGCTCGATTGGTGAGAGATCAGGAAAGAACAGTGGCCATGGAAGCATCTGTACACCTTGGCAGAGCACACTGGCTGATACGAGCAGTGTGTGGTTAGGCATTATCCTGCCGATAAAGGGCATTCAGCACTCCCTGAAGGTAGGGGAGCGTCACCAGCCTCAGCACATCATCCACATATCGTTGGACCTGGGCCCTCATAATGCCCTGAATATGAACTAGAGGTGACATGGAATCATATGCAATTGTACCCCATACCATGCAGCATTGTCGAGCGGTGGGAGAGTTTCACAATCGCTGCCGGATTAGACATGAAACAGAAATGTAACTCATTTGAGAACACAACCCTGTGCCATTCTGTAGTCCACATCACTTGAACATGGCACCATTGCAGATTGCCTATGATGCGGGGTCAATGGCAGTCTTCTTAACGTACACCACAAATGCAGGCCACTAGGCACCAATCAACAGCAAATGGTTCTGGTTCATATGGGAACACCAAGGGTGTCTTGAACATGCTGCAGAATAGAAGTAGAAGTGGCTTGCAGCTGCACCACCGTTTGTTAGAGGATGCGACATCACTCTTGCTGCAATGGCACCCCTTGAACTTGCCATGTTTACTTGTTCTAACCATCGTTGCTATAGCCACTCCACTGTGGGTGCATACAGATGTGTGTCAGCTGAGGCTTGCAGTATTGACCAACCCTTCCTTCTCAGTCTGTACACCATGCTCCTTGTAAAATCGTCTGTCTGCTGGAATTTCCTCCATTGACAAAGACCTGGCATTCTCTGCCATACTTGCCAACCTATGACACTCAAAAATCAGGAGTTTTTTTAAAAAAACAGGAGATTTTTCTCAATGTTAAAAAGACTTTTTAAATGATAAAAATATAGTTTTTAAAAATGAATTAACTTTAAATAGTAACTAATTCTTAAATGCAAGCAAAAAAAAAAAAAAAAAAAAAAGAAACCTTACACATAAAAAACATTTTTATTACTTGCATCGTTTAAGGAAAAAAAAAAAAAGACACTTTAGTTTTCGTACAAATGTTATAAACAGTGGCAAATTTTGCTTTCTTTAAGAAAGAAACTTCATAATTTTGTTAATAAAAGTTTTTCGAATGTGTCATCACTAATATTAGATCTAAATTTAGTCCTCGTTTTCGCAACACTGAAAATCCTCTCACACTCTGCATTACTATAGGGAGCTGTCAAGATGGTAACACAATTCTAGACAGTTCACTATATTTTACAGTTCCATCAGCACCTTTCACTTTTCCAATTAAACTCCACTGGGTGTCAATCCTAGCTGATTTTATAACTTCATCCAAGTTTTCTAATTGTAAACTGCTGTTATGCAGCTGTTACAATTAGAAAACTTGAATGAAGACTTGGATGGATTGTTTCAATTTTTCCTTCCTTTTAGAACTCCTTTCAAGATAATAATAAATATCAACGATGTGTTCATCCACATTTATGGGTAAAGAAGCTGCCCCTTTTTCAGCTGCTAAATTTAAGAGGTGACACGTGCACCTCATAATCTGAAAATCTGAATTTTCCTTTTCTTAAGATGCCTGCAACACCAGTCTTCCAAGCCTACCAATACTGGTGCATTATCGGCACCAAGTGCTAAGCAATTATCCAGAGGGCCTGCATTTTCTTTTAAAGTTTTAATAATTAGCTGTGCTATATTAAAGCCTGTCAAATGTCCTTCTAAAGTAGGAACATAAAGTAAACTGCACTCAATTTCTGAAGACTCTGGATCAAAAAAATAACAATTGGATACAGTTTTGAATCGGTATTATTACTTCCATCCGTAGAGAGGCAGAAAGGAGCTGTTTTAATGCTATCAATAACTGAAGATTTATTTTTCAAACCCATTTCTTTAACAATTGATCCTGTTTTGATTCTTGGACCTTGAGTATTTTTTAGCGATTTCACTATCGGGAAACATTTTTCTAAATAAAGCTGCAGCGTGATCCGATGCATTCAGTGGCAGGATGTGCTCCAGTAAAAAGGCAGGAGAACAGACATTCTGCATTAATTACACTTTTTGGTCCTTTGTTTCCGAAGAAAAATTTAATTTTCCGTTTTTTTAAAAACAACTCATGTTATCCTTGTGTTTTTGCGTACGTTCATGTTTGAGAACATCCGCCCTTCCACCATGCGAAATCGAAAAATCGCAACGACGGGTGGTACACATCGCAAATTTATTACATTTCTTTGAGGAAATAATGGAATGAAAGTGAACTGTGTACGATTTTTGAAACGTACACGAGTATTTCACTTTCTCGCAGACGTAGCAAAAGATGATAATTTCTAAAACTATTTCCCTAAGGCACGTGTACTCACACAACTCTGGACAAAATGAAAGAAATAACTAAAGCACGTCCAAATAACAACTTACTTTGTCCTCATTGGCTAATATATGCCAGCTGACACGCAGTGGAGCTCGAAGCCCATTGGAGAACTGGAGAATGACATTTCTGGATACGTATAATGCTGTCACTCACAAAGCAGAAGCTATCTGATTAGCAAGGTTTTGTTTTAGATATAATGTAGAATAATTCAATTGCTTTCAGACATCCAAAAGCACTTTGTTTTTATTCATATAACAAAGTATTAAGCCAAGTTTCATAAAAGTCGTGAGAAATTTTAAGAATAAGAAAAAGTCGGGAGAAATATATCATAAATCGGGTTGGCGGGAGAGCGGTCGAAAAGCGGGAGTCTCCCGCTTAAATCGGGAGAGTTGGCAACTCTGCTCTGCTATTACACACATCCTCTGAAACAAGAACAAATTTCCTATGACGATTTTCATAGAGAAATAATGGCATGAAAATTGAACATTCTGCAGGTTCTTTTCCTTAAATCTTCTTCAACGTGTGGAGAGCTGAACATTTCGTATCATTCGCATAACTCAGTGATGTGTGTCTACCTTGAAATTTGCATAATTTCTGGGCCACTCACTCTTGATGTTGCATTTTCAATGTCGGGAAATTAAAGGATGGCAGTAATTATACTACTCAAAAAGGCACTTTGACTACATTCGTATATACGTATATTTGGTCTACCGGAAAGTTCTGTCCATTTTATGACAACAGTTTTCGACACATAAGCATGTGTTTATTTGACGCATGTTTGGCTCTCTATTTTTATCGCTTAATATATAGATACTGATGTAGCAAATTAATTAAACCAAAGTTGATTCAGGTTAGTCTTAAGTGTGAAGCGATAGTGTACCCATGACAACTAATAAAGTTCATTTACGCCACTGGTATTTTATACGAATTTCAAAAAGGATGAAATACTACAGAAGCATGTAGAAAATTATTGGAAGTGTTTGGGGAAGGCACAGTTTCTGATGGAACATGCAGAAGATGGTTAAAATAATTTAAAACAGGTCATTTTGACCTTTCTGATAAGCCACGTTCTGGGTGACCATCGTTGATCGGCGAGAGTGTTGTTATGACCCTGTTGGATCAAGATCCTTTTCTGACAACATCGGAGATCGCTGAAAGGCTTAATTCCACTCAGCAAAACATTTCGGACCATATAAGGAAGGTAGGATTGTGTGGAAATTTTCAAAATAGGTGGTACATGAATTAAGTCAGAAGAATTTGGATGACCGAGTTGTCATATGCACATCGCTGCATCCTCGGAACAAAATCGAGCCCTTCTTGAATCGGATGAAAAGTGGATTACCTACAAAAACATCATAAGGAAAATGGCATATAGTGAACCTGGAAAACCTAGTCCTTCCACCTCTAAAACCAAATTTAACTCTGAATAAGAGAACGTTGTGTGTATAGTGGGACATTCGAGGACGAATACATTATGAGCTTTTAAAACCGAACGAATAGCTCACTATGGAGAAGTATTGTCAGCAACTGGATAATTTAAAGACAGCAGGCCAAAAAAAAGGGGCCGGCGATGTTCAATAGGAAGGACATCATACTGCACCATGATAATACTACGCCACATTCTAATTTGGGAACTCGTTAAAAAATTGCAGAACGGGAAATTCTGGCCCATCCACCATATTCACATAATAATACTGGTTCAATTTTTCACATCAAAAGATACAACATTTTTCAAAAATGTGATAT